TCATACCCAAAGTGGTTGTGGTCGATGACATCGATCATAGGGCACACGATGGTTTTGTGGTTTAGTGCGATTTGGTCTGAAAAAGGAAAACAGAGAATAGGAAATGACATGCTCGCTCAGGCCATCTATCATTTGTCCGCCGAGAAGACGACAGATTCCTTCCAACGCATAGTGCTCCCGGCCCGGGGTGCCCCGCCATCTTTAGAGCGCTCTGCGGGAATCTCTTTTGGATGCTGGACGTAACGTGAGGGGACAGTGATTAGGTGCAATTAGAGTTGTTGTATTTTCCTTTAAGAAAGTTATGTCCCCGAGAGATTCACACAAGTCCATTTAGCTCTACCTTAGTCACAGGGTTGCTCTGACCTGTCCCCAATCTGTCATTTTAGCATGCATCCAACATGCTCAGCGTATAAACAGCTCTTGTGGTACTTCAAGCATACAGTTAGCGCTCGCTGAGAAAATATTGGCCTGCTTTCAGGTTCCAAAACGTAAATATTTAACTTCAAGGGGTTTTTAGCATCTAATCTAATAACATCACAGTGGCGCCCTGCATCCTTCCCCCCCTCACACACACCCAAAATGCTGACAGATCGTGCAAAGAATTCCTTGCGCTCCGGTTTGCCAGAGCTTTTGCCAAATTGCGTTTTGCTGTTCTTTGAGATTGGCTTTGTAGATCAAACCTATGCATTATTATCTTCTCTCATCAGGTCCAAAAAGATATCAGGTGGCCAGCTACTGCTAAATTCTTGAGCAGCTAGGAAGTGATTTATCCACTTTATACACACACTATTTGTAATCCTCCTAACAACCCTGTTAGGTGGCTCTTTTTATCGTTCCCAATTTACACAGGAGGAAAGCGGACTCAGAGAACTGAAATCACTTGTCGGAGCTCCCTAAAATTTTGAGAGGGAGAACCAGGAAGCATCCCCTGCTTAATGGTCCAATTTCAAAGCCTCTGGTCATTCCATTGTGCCCTGGTGTTTCCCATGGTAGCAGAAACGTGATTTTTTTTTTTTTTTTCAGTCTTCGCTACTTCCTTTTCTGTGTAATGTTGTGGTGACCTTAACAGCCAGCACAGGGAACAGGCATTGGTGTGCATGGCTCAAGGAGAATAGCTATATGTGAAGTATTTTCCTTCCACAAAATGTGCATTTAATCAATATTTCTTAGAGAAAACCAATACCTACTGACAGGCACAACTCTTAAGCAGGAATGTCTGCTCTCTGGTTAATTGAGAGACCTTTGGATGCGAGGAAATCCTGGTGGTGTAGGGGTTAAGTGCTACGGTTGCTAACCAAAAGGTTGGCAGTTGGAATCCACCAGGCACTCCTTGGAAACTCTATGGGGCAGGTCTACTCTGTCCTATAGGTTCGCTACGAGTCAGAATTGACTCAATGGCAATGAGTTTGGATTTTTTGGATGTGGTGTGTAAAAGAAAATACATTTAAATATCTTAAATGGAAAATAGACAGCACTTAGAAGTATAGAAAGTTTTGGTCGTTTTAATATCATTATTGTTCCAAGAGATCCTGGAATAAATGTCATCTGTGCCAGGAATAACGTCCTCACAGTAAGGAAACTGTACTTGCCTCGGAAGTTTCTCCTAAGCACAAGAGAGGAAGCAGAGGCTTTTGTTGGCTGTGAAAACGAGCTGCTTGCTTTTCACGACGCTGATAAAGTAGACATGGAAACCACAGAATGATGTGGAAGATTTTCTCCTCCAGATCGATATGTTTTTTTGTTCCTTCCTTCCTTCATATTTCAATGACTATTTATTGAGTGCAAACCATATGCCAGTCACTTTTTTAGGTTCTGGGGATATACAAAAAATAAAAA